ACTAACTGTTATCAAAGAAACCCTTTTACTTTAACAGACGAAGATTTTTGCCCCCTTACCATACTGATTTCAAGATTATAGTGACTCATTCAACAACCTATTTTGTGAATAACAACCTAATATTACAATAACAACTGCAGACGATATTCTTAATTATTTGAGAGATAATGAGAAAAGAAATATGCTTTTAAGAGTAGAACTCTTTAAAGGAGATGCTACTCAAGACCCTCTTATCTAGTTAGATGATTTTAACAAAGCTGCTCAAGCAAACAAGTAGAATTTGGCTAGAAAGAAAGATATCCTTGCTGCTTTCTAAAGAAATAATGCTGAAGATTGGACTACTATAGTTCAAGACTATGCTAATAAAGGAACAACTTGGGCTGCAATTGAAACTGCCTTCAAAAATACCTTTTGTACTCAACGTTGGAAAAACAAATAGTTTAGAGACTTCGATATGTTGAAACAAGAATCTAATAAATCTGTAGATACTTATTATAGCAGGTTTAAATGATTGCTTAAAAGAGTAAATACTGGAATAGCCCAACTTCAAGATACCCAAAAGTTGTATTACTTTAAGAAAGGATTAAGACCAGAAGTTCTTCCTATATTGCTTACTTATAACTCTGGTGATTTGGATACACTCTTTGAATATACTAAAACCTATGAACAAGAAATGGACTTTGCCACTAATGCTGAGCCTGGTACTATTAAAAAAAACTTCTTTTAATGAATACAAAAAAGAAATCAAACAATTAACTAAGCAAATGAGCCAAATGTCTTTTAACTATGCTTCAATTGCTTCTGCCTTGACTGCTCAAGCTGAACCATCCTACACACCCAAGCCAAGACAAACAAATTATTCTTCTAATGTACCCAAACCCAAATTAATAATAACAATAATTTTAGATCCCATATTACATATTTTAGATGTGGTGAAAAAGGACATTATGCTAGAGATTGCATGTCTAAATATCTTCTTACACAAGAACAACAATATCAAATAAATAGCCAACCCTCAACTAGAAAAAAAATTAACTATGCAGCTATAGAAGAAGACTACTCAACTGAAAAAGAAGAAGTTTATATTACCAGAGCACCCAAACCTCAACCATACAGAACAAACAGAAAAGTTCAAAAAGAAGCTCAAAAACAAACTGAATCTCAAAAAGAAATAAAGTTAAGAAATAGAACTATCTATACTGAACCTAATATCGAACCTGAAGAAATTGAAGCTGAACCTATTGAACTTCCCAAGCCAACACCAAAAGCAACTAAAGCAAAGAGAAGCCTAGCAAAGAAATTGCCTTCTATAATCAACAAACTTGAACCTTATGATATTGCAAAAGATTTGCTAAATCGACCTGCTCAAGCTACTTATGGACAACTATTGCAATATCCTAACCAACATAAAAATCTTGCCCAAACAATGAAAAGAAAAACTGTTGTAACTACTGAAGCTAACCACTTGGAATTGGGTCCAACAAAGAAAACTGTTGCTATGAGGTGTTATGTTAATATTGAAGGACAACTAGTAGTTGCTATACTTGACTTTGATGCTGCTATTAGCATAATTACCAAGAAGCTAATGCAAAAACTAGAACTATATATCACTAAAGAATCTAAAACTATTGTAATAACTGCTAATAGAGCTAGAAAAAAAGCTTTAGGCTCAATTAGTGATGTGAATATTGTATTTCAAAATATTGCAATTTCTATTGACCTGAAAGTAATCGAGTTCAAAGATGAAACTCTCTTGTTAGGAACAGATTGGTTTACAAAATTCAGAGCCACTTTAGACTTTGATAACCATACCTTAAAGATTAAATACTTGGGAAAAAGAGCTACTATCTATACAATTTATGTTAGTGAAGAGCCAATACCTGATGAATTTGAAGAATTCACAGATAAAGATGAATAGATTGATGAAATTAAAGAACAAGATGAAGCAAAAACCTACTATACTAAAGAAGGTGACCAAGATGATGACCCCTTATTCTACAACCCTTGGACTGATGTTTTTTCTAACAACAACCCTGCAGTATATATTGTTTTAACTGCTGAAGTTCCTACAACACCTCTTCTAACTGTTAATACTTCTTTGAATAGACAACAAAGAGAGAAATTCTTCTAAACAACCACCAAATTTTTGCTAAAAATATTTCTGAAGAAGGACAAATCTTAGAACTAGGACAAATCAAAGAAGTTTGTCATAAAATTAATACTCCTGGTGCTAAACTGATTAAATAGCGAGCCTATAGAGCATCACTAGATGATTTAGAATTCTTGAAAAAAGAAATTAAAGAAATAAAAAATGTGAAATTATTCAAGAATCAAACAGCCCATGGTCTCACTAGTAGTTATTGTATCCAAAAAGAATGAAAAAGCTGAATCTGTATTGACTACCAAAAGTTAAATACAGTAACAACAAAAGATGTATATCCTTTTTCTGATATTAATGAAATTCTATCTGTCTTTGAAGGAGCTCAATAGTTTACAAGCTTGGATCTGGCCAGTGGATATTGGCAAGTTGCTATACAAGAAAAAGATAAAAAGAAAACAGCATTTATTACTTGGCATAGAACATATGAGTTTAATGTTATGCCTTTTGGTTTGTGCAATGCACTAGCTACTTTTTAACATCTAATAGATAAAATTCTATATTTCTTTATTAATAAGTTTTAGTTGTATATTTAGATGATATTACTATTTATTCAAAAATATTCAAAGAATATTGTTCTCACTTACATCTAGTTTTTGATAAGCTTGCAGAAGCTAACCTCAAATTAAATATTGAAAAATATTTTTTCTTTTTAAATGAACTTAAATTTCTAGGACATATTATAGGAAAAGATGGAGTAAAACCTGATAAAAAAAAGATTGAAAAGGTTAAAAACTTTTCAACACCTATTACTGTTCATCAAATTAGAGGTTTTCTTGGACTAGCTTCATACTATAGAAAATTTATAAAAGAATTTTCTATAATTGCCAAACCTTTGAATATTCTGCTACAAAAAGACCAACCATACTATTGGGAAGAAAAACAAAAAGAAGCCTTCCAAACCTTAAAAGAATACCTTATTATTGCACTAATCTTACAATATCCTAACTTTAATAAACCATTCTATATTCATACTGATGCTTTACAAACTAGTCTTGGAGCTGTATTAGCCCAACTTGATAAAAATAAAAGAGAGCATGTAATTGTATATGCTAGTAGAAGTCTTTCAAGAGCAGAACAAAACTACTCTACTACAGAATTAGAATGTCTTGCTATTGTATGGGCAGTTGAACATTTCTATCAATACATAGGAGAAAACTACTTCTATCTAATAACTGACTATGCTGCTTTAAAATGGTTAAGAACTACCAAACTAGTAGAAAAAAGAGCAAGATGGATTATATGACTAGAACCTTATAACTTTACTATAATCTATAGAGCAAGAAGAAAGCACAATAATACTGATTCTTTATCCAGAATGTATAAAAAGACCATCTTTTAGATGAAGAAACTGAAGTTAACCTGATTGATTTACCAACTGAGCAAGAAGCTCTAAAAGCTGCTCTAGCAGAAAACCCAATTAATCTTGATAATGAAGTTGAAATCTTTCACTTAGAATATGAAGAAAACTCCAATACTGAAGAAAGTTATTACGATACTTATAAAACTTTCTTTCAAGAAGCTGACTCCTACTTGAAAAACCCATGGAGTGATATTATATCTAATTCCGAAGTAGTAAATATTGCTAATGAGTCTGAACCTCAAAAAGGAGCTCAAACTGAAAAAGGTCTAGAAATTGTAAATAAAATCTTGGAAGATAACCTCTCTCCTTATATAACAAGTGGACTCCTATTATACAACTATGTAGTATTCTCTTATAAAGGAATCCAATATGATAGACAATTTTGTACATAGTATTATATTGAATATATAAGCAAACAAGTTAATACCAAAAATAAGAAAGGTCTTGCTAAAGATTGGAAAGACCCATGTGCTCAATGTTGGTGTGGACTTAAACTTTACAGTCCAGAAGATGAATATATCCAATGCTATCTTAAATTAAAATTGTAGAATACAATTAAACAATATCCTATCGAAGTTATTGATTTAAGTTATTGGAGTATACCTGATGATGAATGAGATGACCAATCTGTTCAATCCCAAGAAACTTGTGATAATACCTATCTAGAAATACAAGAAGAATCCTATCCTCAATTTGATCAATTTTCTGAACCCCACATCTAAGTAAATAATTACATTATTCAAAATAACTATTACATCTTAAACAATATTTCTTGGTAGCTTTCCACATTAAAAACACCTACTCAACGACAACTACAAGAACATAACAACCTTTTACCTACTTATCTTTATAATTCTGTATGGTGGACAACACCTGAATCTAACATTTAATACCCAAAATATATCAAACTAGTAGAAACCCAACAATAATATCAATCTAGTCTGGATCATCAGTATCTTAGCAATATAACAAAAATAGAATCTGAACACTATCAAAATATTAAAACTTATCTTGAAACTGCTAAATACCCTTCCAATTTTACAAAAACACAAAAAGAACAATTAAAAAGAAAAAGTCAATATTATTTTATTAAAAATAATCAACTTTATAAACAATTTTTAG